AGAGGGCGCCGCCGCCGCCGCAGTGGCGAGGGCGGCGGCAGCGGACACACCGGCCGCCGCCGCCGCCTCTGCCGCCGCCTCTGCCGGCGTGGACGGCTCGGGCGGCGATTTGAGCGGTCTGCTCCTCGTCCTCGCCGTGTCTGTGGCGAGCTCGTGATCATAGTCATGACAGGTCTACATACACTCGGAATGACCGCCATAGTATCACAACAGGCGAGCTCGTACGTGATCAAGTACGGAGAGACGCTGCTGCCCGTGGTGGCGGAGGGCGACTCGCTGGCGGTGCAGGCGCGCCGCCTGAGAGGAAGAACAGATCGTTAGAGCTGCAGTCAAGATGGATGAGTCTTGTGGTTCGCTGGCGGTGCAGGTGCTCGCGCCGCTGATGGTGGTGGCGGCGACGGGCTTCAACTGCTGGAAGTGGTGGCAGCGCTCGCAGGAGGACCGCGACTTTGGCGGGCTGATCTAGCGGAAGCACCGCTACCGCCACCGCTGGTCGCCTGTTTTTTCTTTGCATAGGGCCAGGGGGGCAAAAGCATGTCGACGCACCGTTTGGTTGACGTACGCATCGCGACGAAGGTGTGAATGTGAAATCTCGCCGTACTAAGTGGCGTTTTTCAAAGGAGCGTCGCGCGGGGATACAGTATGGGACCGGGGCTAGGGTTATCGGAGGTGGAGTCATTACACTGAAAAACACCATATACGTGCGCGGTTCAAAAAACGGGCCCCCCAAGGCTCTAGCAGTGGCTCTGCCGGGGTCGGGCTATCTCCAGGCGCCATAATGATGTTGACGAGCTGGCCAGTTGGCGACGTTATATCATTCCCACTATGCCACCGTCGCACATCCCCAACTGCAGCAGTGGGAACGCGACTTTGGCGGGCTGATCTAGCGGAAGCACCGCTACCGCCACCGCTGGTCGCCGGCTTTTCTTTGTATAGGGCCAGGGGGGACAAATTGCACACCAACTTGCGCTCTCTTCACCCACGTCAGAACTCTACCCTCGCGCTCTCTCGCGCGACAGAGACACCGAGCGTCTAGTACGACGCCCGCCTTTTCCTCCCACGGCCGCGGCCCCCCTCTCCCGCATTTTCCGTGGCGGCCTCCTCATAGCAGCGCCCGCAGAGGGGGTTTGCTGGATCGCCGTGCCCTCGGCGCTCGCACGAGCGATGCGTCCAGAGATTGCACTTGCCGCAGAGCCACGCCGGGGTCTTGGCCTGAAGCTGCAGCAGCGCCAAATCGATGGCGCCGGGAGGATGCTCTCGACTGCGGCATCCGGGCTCTTCTGCGCCTCCTCAAGCAGTTCCTTTAAGGCCCCCCCCGCCCTGGATTTATAAACGGAAGCCCCCCCCCCCCCCCCCTCGCCCGGTGTGTGCTGCAAGCGTCGCGAGTGCTGCAAGTGTCGAGTGCGGCGTCATCACGCCTTCACAGGGTGGCACTGCGAGCGGAAGCATGAGGCACCACCCTTCCCGCACAGCTTGCAATGCATCGTGGCCATGCACTGGTTGGCGCGTCCCCCCTTGTAGCAGCGCCACTGCCTCCGGCCGTAGACATCCTTCGAGTCGCCATGCGTCGGGCAAACCACGCAGATCAGGTCGCCCTGCTGCGCCTCCTCTGCCGCCGCCTCCTCCTCCTCGACCTTCGCCGTCGCCGCCTTCTGCTTGAGCTGGTACAAGAGTCCGCCGCCGCCCGCGTGGCCGACCGACAGTGAGCGACCAGCAGTCGATGAGTTTCCACCTAAAACACCCCGAGGCGGTGGCGAGAGGGGCAGTGTCGGCTGTGGGCGCGCAGCCTCCAGCTTGTCCTGCAGCCGAAGGGTCGGGGCCCCGCTTGTCGCCGAACTTGCACACGGTGTGCCCGCCCCACGGGAGGCCAGCCTCCTCCTCCCCGCGGCGCCGCTTGTCCCGTGACGCCTCGCCTGCAGACCGCGCGCGCGGACATAGGGCGAGGTGGGCGAGGCGGTGGCGACATGGCGAGGGCGGGGGCGGCGAGGGCGAGGGGCACGCGTTGGAGAGGAGGGCCCACGCGAGGCGGTGGCGATAGGGTGATCTCGGATGGGGAAAGTCTTGGGGAGCACGCACCTCCACGCGACTGGCTCGCCTTGAGCATCTTCTCCACCTTGCCCGCCACAACGAAGCACCGGAGAAACCCCTTCGCATCCTGCAGCGAATAGCTCTGCGTCAGATTCGCCTTGTCCTCGAAGGAGACCATGCTGTAGATCGACGCGTGCTCCAGCTGGCCCTGCTCGACCAGTGCAGCCACGATCGCGCCAAACCTGCACCGCACCGCGATTGGGTGGTTCTCCCCGATGGAGTCGAACGCGTCGAAGTTGTCGCTGCTCCGAGGCACGTAGCGCACCGAGCTGGCGCGCAGCAGGACGTACTCCGGCTTGAACCGCTCGAGGCCGCACGCCTTGAGCCCCTCGGTGGCGCCCTCGATCGAGAAGCCGTACTCGTCCAGCAGCACAGCGCAGAACGCCGGGCGCAGGTAGATCTCGATGTTGAGCCACTTCATGTGCTCGAGCAGCGTCGCCGGGATGGTGTCGATCATCTCCAGGTAGACGGGGATGGCCGCCTCGACGAGCGCCTCGTGCTCCGCCGGCTCCAGCTCCGACGTGGCCGTGCAGTGCGACAGCGCGTCGGTGAGGGACGCCACTGAGTACGTCCAGCACGCGCGCGCTCCGTCGGTCGCCGCGAAGAGGTCGGAGGCGAAGGCCTTGACGGCGTCCAAGTTCACTTCGACGCCGTACTTGTACTCGTAGGCGAGGAGGAGCGCGGTGGCGAGCGCCCAGATCTGGCAGGCCGGGCAGCGCTTCTTGAGGTGCGATAGGATCCTCTTGGTGGCCGCGTTCTCCTCGCGCAAAAGAGACTCGCGGAAGAGGTGATTGGACAGTTCGGTCTCGATGACGTGCGTGAGCTTGTTGTCGATTGGCAGCGGTGAGCACTTGTCGACCAGCTACGTAGAGTACAGTGTCCAACGAGAGTGCGTACGTTCTCGGGGAAATTTGTTTTTTGCGGGGTGTGTCCCCAGACTGTCACACGAGTCTCGTAGCGCTACTAGTACCCGCTACGCGCGCCGCTATAGAGCCTCTAGACGTAGACCGCCACCGCGCGCCAGCGGAGGGTTCACGCCTCCTTGTTGAAGGCGCCCTTGGCCTTGGAGACCATCTCGTCCAGTTTGAGCGGAAGCAGCTCCTATGCCACACCATACAGGAGACGTGTGAGAGGCGCCGCACCGAATGGCGCCCGCTCCTGCGAGGCGTGGGGTGGGTGGGGCATGCCTCAATCTTGGCCATGATTGCGTTCAGCCCCGAGGCCGGGAAGGCGGTCGATGGCGTGATGCCACCCTCAATCACCGGGAACACCCGATTGATGAACACGCCCGGCGCCGGGCCGTCGGGGCCGTCGATGAAGGATTGGAACTCTTCGGCGCTCAAGGGTTGGGAGGCTTCCCAGATGCAGAATATATCGTCCTGTGGCATGAAGAGACGGGCGTCGGCCGACGCGCGAGCGGTCGCTGTGGGGTGCCGGTCGGGGCCTTGTGCGAGGTGCCGGTCGGGAGGAAGCAATGGTTGTGGACGCCGTTGGCGCGATTCTTAGCGGCGAGGTCGGCCCAGTTGGCCTGGTCAGCGAACTCCCAGAAGGACTTGTGCGCATTCTGGTCCACAAAGGAGTGGTGCACCCAGAAAAAGCTGCCCGTTGACCTGGCGGGAGTCTTGGGCAGCGTTGGCCACGCGGATGGGGGCGTGAGCCCAGAGGGGAGGACCCTGAAAGCCTTGTTGATGAGCGCGCCCCCAGCAGGGCTGTTTGGGCCATCGATGAAATTTTCGAACTCCTGCAGCGACATCTTTTCTTTGCACTCCCACAGGCAGAGGATGGGTCCCTCGGGCTCGGAGGGGAGGAAGGCGTGGCCGAAGATGCCCGCCGCGTGCTGCGCCTTGGCGACATCCTTAAAATTGAGAGACTTCATGTTGGCCCACCACGCCTTGGCGGCCCGAGGCTTGAACGTGTGATACACAGCGTAGAACGTCGGTTCGCCAGACATCAAAGGCGACGCCGCCCGCGATGTCGCGAGCGGCGAGCGCGCCGTCGGGGAGCGCACCGTCGGGAGCACCAACGAAGAGGCCAGTGCGAGCAGTGGCAGCATTGCAAGCTTTTTGATCGGTGATGAATTCCGCTTTCGGTTACGGACACGTGCGCTTGATGAGACAGTTGGAATTTTCTGGCCTTAGAACGGCAAGGCCACCCATGTTCGCTGCGTTTGATTGTCTGTTGATCTCTCTCTCAGATGTTTGCTCTCGGCCGAACATGTAAGTATTCTTGATAGAAACCACGACGACACACTCACACACACCAGTCGACTCGCATCGGTTGCCTCCATGAACGGCACACACACACACACACACACACACACACACACACACACACACACACACACACACACACACACACACACACACACACACACACACACACACACACACACACTGACGCGATCCACGCAGGCGTAATTTCTGACGGCCGACCGTCAGTGCACGGAGTTGCCCCTTGCTTCTCCGACTGCCCCGGCTAGTTCCCGGGTTTCGCGGGAGTGACCCCTGCGTCCCCCGAGACCTAGCGCGGGTGGATTGGAGGGGGGCTCGCTGCAGGGAAGGGCTGTGTAAGAAGCCGATTTAGGCTGAACAAGCTTTTCCTCTCTCTCGCACCCCGTCTCTTTTCCTTTCCTTTTTTCTCTACAGCACCCTCTTTTTTCCTCTCTGTTTTCCCGGGGAAACCATCAAATTTTCCGGGCTCTGAGCCGAGTCTGAGGCTGGTTTGGGCCCAAAATCAGCCAAATCGGCAAAATACCGGGGATTTTGCGGGTATACCTGGAAACCCCCGGGTATACCTGGAAAATACCCTGCGACCGCCTGGGTATCGTGCCGATTTCCTCAATTTTGCCTCAGATTTTGCCCCAGACCAGCTCTCAGACTCAGGGAAACTCGCGAGTTTCCAGAATGGAGCACCAAACACCCTCTGTTTTCCCTGGAAATTTCCGGAAACGCAAAGTGCTGGGGCCCCTCTGTTTTCCTTTTTGTTTGCCGGAAAAGCTTGTGCAGGCCAAATAGCCGATCCCCGTAGTCCGCCCCGCTCCTCCCCATCGGGCCGCATGAGCGGCCACGCCTCGCAGATTCGTTTTCGCGCCTGGGTCAGGCGCGCGGGGCATCCCCCGGGTCGCTCGACCAGCGATCCGAAGAGTGGCCGCTATGCGAGGGAAAGAGCGGGGCCCTGTTGTCGCCCGTGAACGGCGTGCTCGCAAAGGTACCCCCCAAAACTGTGGCAAATCATGCCGCCGCACTGCGCGCCGCCCGCCTGGGAGGAGATGCTCTCGCCTGCGACGTTCCATGCGACGGACCACGGCTGGGACTTTGGCGGCCAGCATTCGCACGTCCTGCGGCTGCCCGACATCCTGAACCACATCGCCCATCTGGG